AAAAAAAAAGTTTTGACTTTTGATTTCAAAATATACTCAAATAGCAACAATTTTTTAACTAATTGATAAATAAAAGTCGAGTCTGCTGCAGCATTGGTTTAGCTAAAAAAAACAGTTATATGTCAACAGACTTATTAGCTATAATTGTAAGACTTCCTTAAAGTGGAAAGATTAGTGTAAAAAAGTATAAGAAGAATTACTGAAACCATAGAAATTTGTCAGTAAAATTACTTAAAAAAATTCTTTTATTGACTTATAAATTTTAAATGTTTTTTTTTTTGGTTTTTTAGCTATAGCTTAACAGAAAGAAGGTAACTTTTCTGTGCTGTTTTCCAGTAAGAGGCTTAACTGCTGTACAGAATGGGGGATCGATCTGTTTGTTTGACGCACAGCGATTTAGTTTTGTCTAAGCAAAAATTTTGAGCAATATTCTGCGATATTTATTTGCTTATTTATTTATTTTTTTATCAATGCGATATATTTAAAAAACATTGTTCAGTTATCAATGTTAAAATCGTATCACCAAATACCTTTTTTCCATTTTTCTTTTTTTTTTTCTTTTTTTTTACAGATATTTGACAACCGGTTTTAAATATTAACAACGAAAATGAGGTAAGTCAACAGTTTTAAATATTCTTCAATTTTTCTTTTTTTTTTCTCGTTGTTTTATTTATTTATTTTTTCTTTTTTGCTCATTTAAATGCTTTTTAATAAGCAAATATGTATAACAAATTCAGAGGTGTATAGTCTGATACAAAGATAAAATTATAATGTAACTATATTTTGACTTCTGAGTACGCATTAGTTCTGTCAAATTTTATTTATTTCCGACGTTTATAATGCCAAATTAATAGTTATTAGACAGTAAAAAAGAAAAACATTGAAAAGAGTTTCACAGAGGAAGATTCTTTTCTGCAATTTAGCTGTTTGTTTTGATACAGTTATGTAACAAAAACTTAGTATCTATTGAAGAATAAGAGAGGAACACTGAACTAAACTTAAGGACAGGGCAAGTAATCGTAACCAAGACATTTATATTTAACCGACAAATTTCTACAATCATTGAAGTCAAACTTTTGGTAACAATGGTTTCTAAACTCTTCTATTTAAGATGATATTTTAATTTGAAAATGAGAAAGCGAAAAAAAAGAAACAAGAAGATAGACAAATTTAAGGCTAAAAAATTTATTTTGCAGTGTGTATGGCCTAACAGAATAATACTTTTATGGAAAACCTATTAAAATTTAGTAAAAAAAAAAACTTGGTTCATTTATCATAACAAATATTGCAGCTTTCTAAAAATAACCACAGTTCTTCTAAGTGTTACAATCGCTTTTTCATCTGGCAAAAAACGTCAAGCAAATTTTGTGCACTCAGGATTAGTGCCAATTTTTGGAGGTATTCCTTTACCGTTTAAATCTTAAAAACAATTTTTTACTTAAGGTTTCAGTTACACTAAAAAGATTTATTGTAAGTGACAAATAAAAGCTTTTTTCCGCTTCTCTAATAATTTGAAGCTACTTTTCATGTTATTATAGCTTCTAAATGAGTGCTATCAGATTAAAGGTAACTACTACACGGTTATATCAAGTAACCAAAAAAACAAAAAATTATTTTTGTATTACAACAAATATATCCACTATTAGTGTAGTCCTATAAGACTAGAAAGCTGTATATAAAGACCATTTCGACGATTACATAACTGCTTGTAGACGTTACGCATAATCCTCCATTGACGTTCACCTTTACAACTCCGATGCCAAGACCGGCAACTAAACCGTCATATATGGTGAACATTGAAGTAAGTATAGTCAACTTTGAAAAGGCTTTCCTTTTTTTTTGGCAAAGAATGAAGAAAGTACAAAGGAAGTAATAATCTTTCAAATCTCCTAATTCTGTACATTATAAGTTTAAGCTCAACCTGAAAGATTGAAATGTTAAGAATACTTTTTCAAATAGCAACAATTTTGTAACAAAATAAAACCTATTATCTAACAAAAAAATTTGCAACTTAAGAATCTGAAGCATTGTGTTTTTTTTCTTTTTTTTTTTTGTTGCAGCCTCCAAAAGAGGTCATCTCTCTGGTACCCATAGCAGCTAATCCAAACTCAATAAACTCAGTAGTTTATAACATTGCTCCATTGGTTCAACCTAAACAACCCGTCTACAATTCCTATTCGCCGTTTGTTAGCGTAATCGTTTAGTTACCGATATAGTGAAAATTAGTTATATCAATCAGAAATAACTTTTCAAATTTTTGATTTTTTTTAAAAAATGACCAAGGCGTTAATAGTTAGTGTAATATTTTTTAGTAGTTTAGTTTTTTGACACTTCCAGTTACAAATTTTTATCACCACTTCAACACTTTGTTGCACTCTGTATTAGTGTACTGAGTACTGATCAGCGGCGTAAATTATCCCGCTAAATTACAGAATGTTCCAATGCAACAATCTGGAAACTACATGCCAATTGTCACAACTTCTCCACCAATGAATCCTCCACCATCTGAGCAGGAAAAATGGAATGATGAATATAATCGAATTTGGTCGAAAATGGGTCAGTCCTGGAATGATGTAAGCTTATTTGCTCAGGTCAACATTGAATAAACTTTGTTTTGCTAATATCGCTATAGCGATAATTGTTGTACAATTTATTAGCCGTTGTGTTTTGACTTAGTTAAAAGAACTTTTGATTGGCCTTTTTAATATAAATGAATATATTGTTCTTTTTACTTTTTTTTTACAGCTTAAAGAAAATTTGGCTAAATCAGGACTTGATCGAGATTGGAAAAGTATGTTTGCTAAGTTAACAAATACTGTTGAACCATATATGTATGCATTCTCCGAACAACTTGGTGAAGCACTGAATACAGCTGTTCGACAACAACAAAATGGAGTTCTTCAAAAAGTGCTAATTGTTGAATTTTTATTAAAATTTATTAAAAATAATCTAATAAACTATATTTTGTGTGGTAAAAAAAAAGATTGAAAAAATTATTTTTTTAAAGAGGTGGCAATTGAATGGTGAAGTGCTGTCACATTAACGATGATGGTCATTATTATCGATAGCGTAACCTTCTTGACTCAGCCAAAAAAAAGAATTCTTTTTTTAAACTTTGTTATTTTTTTTTCACAATTTTAAACAAAAACGAAAACTAATTATCACAATTATAGCGTTTTCCAAAAGCTAACTGTTTAGCTAAAGTAAAGCACTAAAATTTTTAAACTGAAAAAGAAACTTCGTCTTTCTGCTGTATTCTTCTGTTACTTTCTGATAAGTTTAGGCAACATTTTTATTTTAGGGTTCAATACTGAACAAGATGCAAGCATCGCTGAATCGAATGATTCGCGGTGAACAACCAGCTTCAGACACAGTTGCGCAGGTTCTTGACACACTGTTTCGCTCTGGCCCATTTGACGAAAATGGTAATCGATCTGCTGTGGCCAATTACTAATTGTATCGATCATTGCATTATTGTCTTTATTTTGTATAATCTTGGTTTTTACACCGACAGTCAAATTAACGATCAAAGAGGTTTAACAGAGCTTTTTGGCCCTCCATTTTTTTTTTCATTCGTTATTCTGATGTCTTACCGGCGTCTAATTGTACCATTGATACGCCAGTGTATTTATGGTACCCAGAAATTGACGGGTACTGTCTTTCAGTGATGTTCTTGTTGCTTTCCACTTGTACGCATTCACCAGTATCTTTTGCGTACATCAAAATACGACTTTTCCTCTAGTCTTTTTCCTAACTTATTTATTTCCCAGTTTTCTCGATCAAAATCTTGGCATCTATTTGTCCCGGTTCAGCATTGTAATAACCTTGACGTTATCATTCAAAACTTCACAATTTTTGCATTGTTGAACAATGTTGGTCTCGTTTTTCACGACAATTACTTAATTTGTTTGTTACTTTTTCTAAACATTATAGGACATTCTAGAATTATTTTCAGTAGCTTTAGCTTTCTAGAACACTACGCTTTTTTTTTTGAAGAAAAAGAAAAAGGAGAGGAAAATCAGAAGGAATACCCAACTTCTTCTGATCAAGTCAACAGTAAGTTTTGAACTGATAAAATGTTTTGCTTATTAGAATAAGAATATTATATTTTAGAGACTGGTAAGTTAAATTTTATATAGTTGTACAAGCCGTGGTAGTCATAGACTAATTGAAAAAAAAAAAAAATCAAAAAGAAAACTGTTGATAAAGTTTTAGTCTTTTTTTTGATTGACTAACAAAAAGTTTTGAATTGAAGATAATTGTATCACTGACGTATTTATATTTACTGTAATATGCAGTAAAAAAAAATTTTTTTTATAGCTAAAGCTTGTATTTAGAAGATTGTAAGAACTTGTAGTTTCTTACCTTACTTA